AAAAAAAAAATAGTACCTTTGGTGTACAACAGATTGTCACTCGGGCAGTAACTGCTTGATTTTGCATTAAATTCTACGATCGCAGAATTGCAAAATCCTGGGGGGACTGATTAAGGTACAGATGTGACCCTCTGAGAATACTTCCACAGTAACAAGCCGCTGTACCCCTAAGGGTACACATTTGCAAAATTTTTCCTCAGTGAAATGACCAGATACCATTCATTTTCCATGAAAGTTGGTGATTTCTGGCACCATGAGTGGAAGACACCACTGGCAAAGCAACAGAAAAGCTTGACTTTATGCAAATGAGAGTGAAGATAGTGGATATTTTAGCTCATAGATCAGCGATTTAATCAGCATCAGCGTGAACGCAGCTTTACCAGGAAAGTCAGTAAACCAGGGGCGCCCAATCCTGTTCCTGGAGATCAACATTCCTGCAGAGTTCAGATCCAACTCTGCTCCAACGCGCCTGTCTGTAATTATAGCGTGTTTCTGAAGATCTTAATTAGCTGGTTCAGATGTATTTCTGATGTGTTCAGATTATGTAAGTAGCCAACCTTGCTCCTAAAGGGCCACCTTCATGCAGACCTCAGCTCCAACCCTGCTCCAAACACAACTGCCTGTTATTTTTAAGTAACCATCTCAATTAGCTGGTTTATGTTTGTTTGAATATCACTGAAGCTAAACTTTGCAGGAAAGTGGTCCTCCATGAGCAGGATTAGCAACCCCTGTCCTAGAGAATGTGTAACTATAATTAAACCAGATGCAAAATATTCAAGCTGCACCAATTACTATTGCCCTTACCTCATACTCCTGGGAAAATCGGAGGGCATCGTTGGCCTTGAGTCGCTCTATGTGGTCTGCCAGCTCGCAGACAGATATAGGAGGATGTTCCCTCATTCCTACAAGAGAAAATAAGACAACGAGAATTGGTGAACACATCCCAGAGTATCACACCTGATGCACTGTACCGTTACAGCGGGGAGTGAGTCTGTCAGTTTTGAGTTGAGGAGGGCACGATATAAATAGGTTCTTCTTGCACCTTGATGTGACATGATCCCTCTGCGAGATTTGCACTGACATATGTTGTGTCCGCTTACACCTATCCCCCAAACATGCTCTGGATTTCTTGTCCGGGGGGGTCAACTTAGCGCCAAAGCACATTTCCCTGTCAGCGCCTGTGAACGTATCAAGGCTACATGCTCAGCTGGATCTGAGGAAATGTTCAGCTTGCGTGTTGTTTGATAAGGAAAGGTTTGTGTGTGTGTGTGTGTGTGTGTGGGGGGGGGTCGTAATAGAGAGGATCTGTCATTAGGATTCCAGTGGTTGAGGATGAATGAGCTGGACTGAGATGCTTAATGGGACATGGTTGGGTATGATTCCCCATTATGAGTTCATTATGGCCACAGTGAGCACAGTAATGTCTGGACAAGGCCCCTGCTAGCTACTTCATGCAACCGTTACTGCAAGACAGTGGGTGGCAGGATCATGGGGCCACTCTCTTAATCAACCGCACTGACGTGATGCCAAAAACTGGTCTGGTAGATTGTAGACACATTTTACATTTCTTTGGTGGAATATGTGCTACAACACATATGCGACTTTCACACAATTATATCTGAACA